GAAATAGAATCTGTCAGATAAAGCTTCATGGAGAAGCAGGTTCTGTTGATAAGGATGTTATTACTGAATCCTTACCTATATACAAGTGATATGAAATAGTATTTCTACATACCCACCATAAGGGCCCGAAGCTTGGACTTGCTGCAATGGCAAAAGAGGTTGGCTGTGATAAAAAAATGGTGCAATATTGGGTTAGTAGGTGGTTTGTAACCAAGGACTTGAACAATTAGTAAAGTTTGGCCACAAGAGAATTACTACCAAAAAGCAAGATCAGAAAATAATTAAACTTGCAAAAAAAAATGACAATATAACTACTATAAAAATATGCAAAGATATAAAGAAGCACAATGTTGGAATCAGTGTGGCTACAGTTTGCCATTGTCTCTGTGAACAAGGTGCCAAATATGCTACTTAACTTATGAAGCCTCTGCTAACTGACAAGCACATAAAAAAAAGGCTAGCATGGGCTAAAAATCATAGAAACTATAATGTGGTATTTTTAGATAAAAGTATATTTTATTTGAAATACCAGTCAAAAAAAGTGTGGCAGTTTTCTAGGAAACGAAGTGTCTTCCGAATAGTGAAGTATTCTGCGAAGGTCTATATGTGGAGCTGTTTTTTGGCCTCTGGGTTTGGTAAGCTGTATATCTTCTAGAGAAACCTAAATGCGAAATTTTTGCTTACTGTGTATGAGAAGAGCCTTCTACCTTCTACTGACAAAATTTTTGGCAAGGGTTCTGTAGATTGGGTGCTGCAAGAAGACAACGACTCGAAGCACTATTTGAAAATTGCAAAAAATTGGAAGAAGGAAAATAGTATTGAGGTACTTCTGTAGCCTTCCATGTTATCTAACATGAATCTAATTGAAAACATCTGGGGACTTATGAAAATTAAGCTAGCAAAAAAAAAATCCAAACTATAAGGGCATTAAAAAATTTGATCACAAAGGAATAGAACTAATTATTTAATGACCTGGCAAAAAATTTGGTTTGTGGTATAAATGAGCATGTAGAAGCACTAATAGAAAATGATGGTGATTATACTGTGTATTGAGGATCATGCTTCATTATAAATTTGTAAATAAAAAAAAATTTTCACTTATCTGCTTGCTGCGCCACATCACGTGGGGTGAAATACTTATGATTCCTACTGTATACAGTCAGATCTCCCTAAGTGCATGCCCCGGGGACCGACTATAAACATGCACTTAGAGAGGGTGTGCACTTAGGGAATTATAGGTTATGTTACACAAATTTATGATCATCCAATCAAAATAATTTTTAATTTAATATTGAAACCCGCTTATTGGCATGCTAATTAAAATAATTAGAGATTTCGCTGTTTTCACAAATCCTGAGACACTTGAAAAATTTAGCAGAATGATTTTCAGCTGATTCGATTAATTTTGTGATTTCGGTATAAAAATTTATAAATTGATACTTTATATTTTACTGTATATGCATAATTTCAGAAATATGATATATGATACATATAAAAATATACCAATCATGCCGAATCATAAACATAATCAAAAAATATCTTGCATCGCAACTGTACTATACGTATATATTTACAGTAATAAAAAAATTTTTGAATTTTCATTCGACTAATTTTTTTTGGGTATCCCAGATAAAAACAGCTATAACTTATTTCAAAAATAAATAAGAGTTTAAAAAATTTCTTTTACATTTTGAAATTCTAAAATCAGGAGCATATGCATATAAAATTTATAAACTTTTTAAAATATTTATCTGCTGAATGCACAAATTATTTATGCGACTTGCGTGAAAAATATGGAATAAATTCATGTATTCCATTGCATAATTTCTTTAATACTGTATAGCATAATAAAATCAAATTTTTTTATATACTTAAAATTGGAAAAAAAATTTTAAAGAATTTTTTTTTAAAAAAACAATACTTAAATGTTTTTTTTTAAAAAAAAAGAAAAAATATAAATTTAATAAAAAAATACCAAATGTTATTTAATTTTTATAAATAACCTACTGGCCCGCGATATCGTTGCAACACTGCTAAGTTGTTTATAATTACCATCAATTTTTCGCATACATTAAGTTGTAGAAAATAGAGAAGATTTTTCTTTACCTATTTCTCCAATTTATTAAAAAGAATCCACTTAATCCTTATGTCTTAAAATATTCATCTATGCGAGTTTGCTGAGCAGAACTTGATATCATTTTCCTAATAAATTTCTCAAGAAAATTAATTGATTTTAATTGATCATCCAAGCCTTCCTGCTGAAGTAAAAACATCTGAACATTTTTCAAGCTATTCAATGCCGAACTACCACTAACAACTGCAGGTTCCACACTATCATCTTCCTCTTCATCCATTACCTCAGTATTTCCTTCATCTATAACTTTAATACTTTTATCATTTCTGAACACATAAGCTAGCTTCTTAATGATTTGATCCTCCAGAAAAACTTCGTAAACAATCTCCTCACTATTAAAATTTAAGAATTCATCAGTTTCTATTGCATTTGGAAGACAGAGAATATTCAGTGACCTAATAAGATTTTCAAGCCTTGAATTGCCAGCTTCATGAAGATCATCTGAAAGATTTGCACTAGACAGGAGAATTTTTGTATGATGCTAGCAGTTACATATAGTTTTAGCTGAAACCTCCCCCAACCCTTTATGATATACAAGATTGCTTGTAAAACATCCATCTTCAAATCCTGAACAAAATTACCTGCTTCAACTTGCTCCAACATCCATCTAATATTTTTAAAAAAAATTTTTTTTTTAAATTTGGATCCAATAGTTGTAATAAACTACTGTATCAGAATAAATTAAAAAGCAAAATTCAATACAAATATCCAGCCCCATTTTACTGATAGTCTGCTTCATTAACAGCCTTATTATTAAAGACCGTATTATGTAATCAGCTATCATTAAATAGACTATTAGTAAAACGGGGCTACCAGGATTGAGAATTGTGACGAATAAATAAAATAATAATAAAGCGAAGAATGAGTAAAACAATAAAAAAAATAAATAAAATAGAAATAAAATATACAATACAATAACTTACTGGAGATAAAAATGATGATAGGCTCTTTTAAAAGCTATGATTATTCCTGTGTCTATTGGTTGTATCCTAGAAGTTGTATTTTTGGGTAAAAAATGTACATCTACATACTGGAGGGTTAACCTGTCTAATTTATGACTAGAACAATTGTCAAGAAGTAAAAGAACGTGCTGGCCCCTATGCTTTTGCAACATTTAGTGATCGAAATCTTAAAGCCACTCTTGAAAAAGAATCACAAGCATCCAAGCCTTAGCATTGCTTCTATATGTCATGGGCAAATTATTAATTTTCATATTTTTGAAACATCTGGGTTTGGCATATTTGTCAATTATAAGAGGGGCCAACTTATGGGATCCATTAGCATTCGCACATAATGCCACAGAAATACATTTCTTATTTTTTTTGCACCCTGCAATTCGCCGAGTCGCTAAGGTTCGATCCGGTTCCAATCTAGAAAGAAATTTTTTTATTAAAAAAAAAAAAAGAAAAAAAAAATTTTATCAAAGAAAAAAAAAACTACTGGTAAAAAAGTCCAGTTTCATCCATGTTATATATGCAGTCAAGAGGGTATTCGGAGCATTTATTTTGCAATAAAGGTAAGGATTCAGTAATAACATCCTTATCAACAGAACCTGCTTCTCCATGAAGCTTTATCTGACAGATTCTATTTC